ATTTTAAGCGGCTCATGTTGTTATGAAAACATTCGCGTATTAGAATGATTGGGAAAGATCACGTAACATTTAAACAGCCTTCTGTCTGTACCGCCTTCATTTACGTGCTTGTTTTCATCACTTTCGTTTTAATTCTCGGGCACTGACTCGTTAGCTAAACTGAACATCCAATCAGAGCTCTCACTTGTGCCGACGGCCCGACGCCGATTCAACATGTTGAATCGGGCAAACTGCCACTGACGTGAGCCCGATGAGAGGAACACACCAAACAAACTAGCCGGACCGTCGCTCGCCGTCGGCCCGACGTTGGCCAACGGCCGACCGTCGGCTTGGTGTGTCCTGGCCTTTAGACTTACCGGAAAAATATAAAGCACTGTTTATTTAATTTATATCTTTGTTCTATTATATTGATCTATGTTTGTAATTTGTTTATTTTTCTATGCTGATTTAGGCTACTCACCTACAAAATCACCCCGGTCATTGATTTTTTTTTTCCAAATAGAGCTTTTCAAGTCATCTGGTGTTTTTTTTTTTCATATCGCAATATATATCGCAGAAATACAAAATATCGCAATGTGAGTTTTTTTCCAATATCTTGCAGCCCTACCTCCAAGTACATCTGACAATTGTCTTTAAAATTAGCATTTCTTTCTGGCTACTATGCATATGTTTCTATTAGGGCTGTCAGTCGATTACAATTTTTAATCTAATTAATCGCAAAATAAATTTGACTGTGAAAATACCCACAAAAGATTATTTAAAGATATTTTTGTGTTAAATGACAAAGTATCAAGTAGACATTACAAATTGTACCTTTAGAAATATTTTTTTTGATTCAACAAAAAAATGTATTACACCTATACATTTAGGCTACAACAGCCTAACATAAACTATGGAACATAAGAGAAGATCATTTGAGAAACATCTCAGTATTGTTTGTTCATACAATGAAAGTCACTGGTAACCAAAACAGCTTTGTTACCAACAGTCTTCAAAATACCAAAGTCCCTTTAAGGGTATTCTATAGTCTTTGAAAATACCTTAGTTTATGTTCCACAAAAGAAAGGTTTGAAACGACATGAGGGACGTGAAAGAAAATGATGACAGAATTAAAATTTTTAGGGTGAACTATCACTTTAATGTTTTAAATGTTTTCTTACAAAAACGCATCGAGTCACTACAGGAGGACTTTGTTCACCCCCCGGAGCCGTGTGAGAGACTTTTTTTTTATGGAAGGGCGCTTTTTATTTCACGTCTTTTGGACTGAAGGAATGCAACACCCGCGGCGTGCCATGAAACAGCTTGAAAGATCAAAGAAAATTTTTAATATAACTCCGACTGGATTCGTCTGAAAGAAGAAAGTCATATACACCTAGGATGTCTCGGGGGTGAGTAAAACGCAGCCTAATTTTCATTTTTGGGTGAACTAACCGCTGATTCATTCAGGAATTAAGTAAACGGCTCTCTTTATGAATGGGGCTTTGAATTATTGGTTCACACGATTTGTTCAAAACAGATTCATTCAGAAACTAAATACCGCTATTTTGCTCGGAGATGCACAACAATTCTGCTATGGCTTTAAAGGTAATATATTCTTTGCAAAATTGAGCAAAAACACATAATATTGTGTTTAAAATATAACACAATATCAACTTCTTATTTACTGAACTGTTGTATAAAATCACATTTAAAGTCGTGATATTCGGGACAAAATTAGCACTCGTGTAATACTGCTCTCCCTGCTCGTGTGATATCGGCCATAACTGCATTTATAGAGTTGTTGCCTGCATCAAATCAAAGTCCCTTTCTTAT